TTCAAAATCATAAAATATTACAAACGAAAATTGAGTTTTGGAATTTCTAAATTAATATGATTTCGTAATTTTTAGTTTAAAAACCCGAATTTGGAGGTGGCTATTATTGATAGAAAATATATGATTATCGTGATTATAGGAATTTCTAAAATCAGACTCTTTATATTTGGTAAGATTATGTTTTCGTTTTTAAAAATCACGGTAAATTTTTCTATAATTTTTAGAAAAAGCTAAATATCCAAATATCATGTTGGAAATTCGTGCTAATTACATGCTAAATACGCAACAGAATATTGTATGTATAAAATTACTAAGCATGTAGAGAGCATGAAATGCAAAATAGGACCATCCTAATTAAATCTAACATGATTCCTATATTAAAGAGAGCATACAAGGGTTATAAAGTAAAATAGGACCATCCTAATTAAATCTAACATGATTCCTATATTAAAGAGAGCATACAAGGGTTATAAAGTCATACTTTTGAAGCGTGATTCGAGAGAGCATACAAGGGTTATAAAGTCATACTTTTGAAGCGTGATTCGATGGAAGATCGAATAACCCCTAATTCTTGCTCCTTGTAGTAGTAAATCTCCTCGTAGTGGATCTCCAAGTATTCAAGTGAGCTTGATAAAATCGGAGTCTTCTTGAGACACAAGGCAAGATGTCCACCCTGGGGTACCTTAAAATCCTACTACTTCCTCTTACTCAAAGATTGCTAGAGTTTAGTAAGAGGTAGATCTCTCTTCTTTTTCTTTTATGGAAAGCAACTATGAATAAACCCTTTATTTCATTTTTCCATTAACCATGAAAGAAGAAAGAGAGCTCATATTTATAGAGGAAGAATATGTCATGACATGAATGACTCATCCTATGAGTCACACCATGAGTCATCAAAACAATGATTCTTTCATGAGTCATGCAATGACTCTCATGAGTCATGTAATGAATCATTAAGAATCAAAACTATGTGCTAAAACCATGTTCCCAAACCATACCACCTTAATGACTCATCTCATGACTCATTAATCAAGGTATAATAAAGTTCGTATTTCATAAATGAAAATACCACATCAATACGGTATTTCGTAATTTTCCAATCATTAACTAATAAGTCATCATATGACCAAAAAATCAATGAGTTGACCAAAAGTCAACTAGTTGACTAAAAATTAACTTTATAGGAAAAATACTAGAATTCATTTCCTAAGCACATAGCATTCTGATTTTATCGATATACATAACCGTTTATGTGTATCCGGTAAAATCATATATGTGTGTCAATCATACACATCACTCTATAAATTGTGTTTCATAAGATTCAAGTACGCGCTTGGTGTGACTCTAGGGCCCAACTTATGAACTCGGCAGTGGATCATATCCATAAGTACAACAAAGGTGCTAGCTACACATGAAGACTACCCGGGTATAAGTTGTGATAAATGTCTGCAAGATGCTTACAAAATTTTATCAGTACCACTCAGTGATAATGCCGTACAGTCCAGTCTCTTCGTCAAACCATGTCAAACTATTGACCCCAGGGTATGGAAAAATTTCAAACCCTAATTACTCAATTAGTGTTTGTTGATATTAATCTCATAACCTATAAGATCAAAACTGACACTCAGTTTATCTTATTTTTCTCGGCTAAGGATTTTCAGGTTATAGTTATATCAAACAATCTTATGACATCAACCCCCTAAACTGGGAGAGACGAATCTCATATTGGCATCTCAATATCTACTTATGCCTTGGGATGTACTCAACAAGAACCGTTATGCACAACTTGATGAGAACTGTGGTTAGGTAAAAGTCTAAGCACACCTATACTGACATGTAAGATATTGCACTCATGCCTCAGGTCATGAGACTACTATGTACTATATCACTTGAGAACTTCTATTTGACAGTTAAGTATAATTACTAACTAGATGTTTCTACTATGTACTATATCACTTGAGAACTTCTATTTGACAGTTAAGTATAATTACTAACTAGATGTTCTCGATGAGTCGTTCAGTCAACTCATTCAATAATGAGTTACCTATAGACTGTATCTTGATGTCTTACATCAATGATCTAAGAGATGGATCTTAGACAATGCTCCCAAAGGGGTGATACCCATAGGTTAAAAATGGTTGTTTAAGAAAAAGTTGGGTGTAGATGGGAAAGTAGATACTTTTAAAGCTAGACTGGTAGCTAAAGGTTTTCGTTAAAGACCTGGTTTGGACTACGATGAAACCTTTTCTCCAGTGGCTATGCTAAAGTCTATTCAGATCTTACTAGCTATAACTGCTCACTATGACTACGAGATCTGGCAAATGGACGTCAAAACTGCATTTCTAAATGGTGATTTAGAAGAGTGCGTATATATGTCTCAACCAGAGGGATTTGTAGTCAGTGGGAGCAGTGGAAAAGCATGTAAATTGCTTAAAGCCATTTATGGACTGAAACAAGCATCACGGAGATTTTGATTATGAAAATATTTGATTTTCATAATTTGGACGGCTAATAACAAATTTGTTTTTTTAATTTACAGTGTAGATTAACGTCTATGTGTCAAAATAATTTGTGAAGAAGAAATCCTATGTGGAAACCTCTTGTGAGTTTTGAGGTCCTTTGATTTTGCTTTAATATATACCCTATTAAAATATGGATTCTTAGACTGTTTCTACTTATTTCACTCTTGAATTTATGTATTATTATATATAAATGCTCAAAAATTCATTATAGTACTTTCTCTTAAATTTAATATTTTTTTTTCATTTTCATTAGGAAAAATTGCTTCAATGCCCCAAAAATCAAAAAGTCATGTTCCCCAGCCGCTCATATTATTTGTAATGTGCTGCAGTCCCAAAATTTTAAAAAAAAATTTACCCAACCCCCTCCATCATGACTCCAGCTCATGTTTTCCCCAAAACCCAATTTTACCCCTCCATAAAAACGTTATCATCTCCCCCAAAATCACACCTCTTCTTCCTCCTCTCTCTACACCACTAACACTACCACCGTCGTCGGAGCTCTGCCAACCGCCTCTCCTCTTTCAATATCCCCTTCTCTCCTATTCATTCTCAAATCCCCAAACAAAAACTTTTTGATGCCTAATATCCGACCAAACCCTAACCCTAATCGTACCTCCTCCTCTCCCCTCCCAATATCAATCCTAACCTTTCGATTCTCCGATGAATACCCCGTCGAGGGATCACATCTCTGTCCCCTTGCTGTCGTCGGCGATTCCACCGATTCGTCGACCTCGACAGCTGATCAACACAGCGGACATGAATTGTGAGACCCAAACCATATATCAATGCAAGCTATATGAAAGCGGTGATCGTAAGGAGCCGTCGTCTCCGTGACCACGTGGCAGGCCGTCGAATCCCAAGGAGCCAGGAGCGCTGCGACGGCCGCGTGGGCGTCCCCTGAAGAAGGACAGTGCTGGCAGGGTGGTGACGTCGCCGGTGTTTAGGAGGTGGGTGATTTCCTCTGGAGAACGGTAAGCCTTTTTATTACTCTGAGAAGAACTGCAGTCCTAAAGAAGTATCGAGGATGAATTTTGCAAAACTTAAGATTGTTTGATGCTTGAAATTTGAGTTGTTTCTTCATTCTTGATTAAAATTTCCCTTTTTGTCAGATTGTCGAGGAACTTTAGCCATGTATTCTATGGATTGGTAATGTACTTATTGTGTTTGCAACTTTAATCCTATAGGGGAATGAGTTTGTGAGATTTTCGTTTTCCTATAGTTTTGGATGATTGCATGTGGTGGTTTTATGTTGATTGTGGGTGAAGCTTTCTTTATTGTTTCTCATGTGGTGGTTTTATGTTGATTGAGGTGAAGCTTTCGTTATTGTTATCCAAGTATTAATATCAATCACAATATTAGTTATGATAGGCTGAAATCATTACATGCATAGTTCTTATTCTCTGTGTTAGCTTTAGGAGGAACATTTCATCAATGTTCTTGAGTGTTCTTGAGTGTTAAAATATTGAGCTAATTTTATAGTTTTGAATGATTATGATTTGTATATAAATAGTTAGGATGTGTACATATTTTGGGAGAAAAAGGGAGTTGGGATGCTGTTATTTGTAAAAGTTACACTAATAACATATTAGGCTGTTAACTTTCTTTTTTCGCTTGTTACGTTACACTGATATCATGTTAACTTTGGATGATAACTTGATAACTATATTTAGTAAATTATTAACTATAATCCATTATATGTTAACTATTATTTATAATTTGTTAACTAACACCATTATCCTATTAACTAACACCATTATCATGTTAACTATTATTGATAAAATGTTAACTATGACGAGAAACAAAACAAAGGTGGAAATCAAAAAGGAAAGATGAGTGACTAGTAATTAACTATATCATTACCTCCCCCCACCCCCTTTTTGGGTTTGATTTGAATTGTTTTCTCTATCTTCTTTCTCAGTTGAAGGAAGAAGAGAACCGTGGTCAGTTGACTGAAGGAAAAGAAAAAACTCTCATCTTAATTCCATGGCCGACGACATTGCCGACGACTCCGCCGCCGTTCTCAGCAATGTCGACGAAGGTTAATTTCAGGTTGGGGGTCACGATTGCTGACCAAAGAGAGTGTTGAAGCGTTGGACGCATAGTGACGTGTCGGTGGAGATTGAAATTAAGAAATTGAGAGTGAAGAGTTTATTAGTTTCTCCTCCTCTAGACTATGTGAAATGTTTATGAATGTGAAATGTTTATGAACGTGCAAAGTGTAGATTTGCTTAATGTACTAGTTTTAGGCCCGTGCGATGCACGGATTTGTCTAATATATAAAAATTGATGTAGCAAAAGAATGCAAAATAAAACAATAATAATATATAATTTCCTTATTATCATAACAAAATAGATAAAATGTCTCATGTCTATATGACTAATGTTATAATATTTTGCTATACCAAGTAATTAGTATGCAGCATAAAGTTTAGTTCCACGAAATATTTAAAGCACATAGAGATACTTGTCAAATATATATATCTATGAATCAATGCAATAATTATCAATAGATTGATAAACAAAATATCCATCACAATCATATCAAGTAGTTAGGTTTCTCAACACAAAACCACCAAAAAATATGTAGTGCATACAAAAGTTTAGTGAATAAGGTTTTAGACCAGAATACTAAATATAAATTTCAGACATCATGAATCAGATAGAGATTTATAAAAAAGTAGCTTGAAGTCTCGTAGAATATTATAATTCTCTCTTTCAATCTTGAACTTTTTTTGCTTTTTGTTGCTAGACATTTGCGGAGAAATCAAGTCTACTGAAACTGAGTGCTCGATATCAGATTCCAACAAATTTCTTTTGCAAGGAGTAATGTTATCCGAGGAACAAATTCCAACTTCATTGTCACAAGTGACCGATAGCGAGCCCTGTGTTCCAGCTTAACATAATAGTTAGCATGTTAATGATGTGGCAGCAAAAGATTATTGTACAATTAATGAGAAGAATCAAGAAATCAATAGTAAAGCGAAAAGAAATAGCCAATCCAAAGTGATAATGGTCAAACATTGCATAAATTTTGATCAAGGATGTTAATTGAAAAGGCAGAGAGAAATTGTAATTTATATGGTACAAATGGTCTCTAAATCAATTCTGAGATAACATAGTTATAATTAACACTCTGAGACCTCAAACGCCGAATGGAAAGAATTAGAGGAAGTACTATTAACTAACACAAAGTAATATGGTCAAATATGCATGTGATTAGAAGATATGATTCGCCATGATTCTACTTGTAGTAGTTCACAAAGTCAACAAAATTCAAACACTGTTTTGATGATGAAATAAGAAGCAAAAGCTATACCTTAGCTTTGTATTAACATTTTTAATTTTATTTTTAATTTTATTTTTAATTTTATTTTTCAGTATAAAATAAGGTTGGAAATCCCTTTTTTTGGTTTCAGATATTACGAAAAAGCTTTTAACAGGTTTAACTAAATTTGAATAGGTCAGCTTCAAGTTTTGGTTCATAAAAATTACTAATATGGTCATCTCTTGTTTCTGAATGGATGAAAACAATTTTGTACAAACCACCAAAAACTTCATAGGTGTTTGTGAAATTTACCCTTAAAAGAATGAATTGATATCAAGCCTTAAATTTCCAATCAAAGAGGTAACAATTACATTGCAAGTACAGAAAGCTAATAAATTGTTAATTCCAGTCCACAAAATTTATAACTCACTGAAAATCGTACGTTCGGTCGAAAGAAAGATGTCAAGACAATTTTTGTTTCCTCTGACATGTGCAGAGACTTGATAATGTCCTCACGAACTGGAATCGTCGCTGTAGCCGTCAGGGCCATCAATGGGATGTCAAACTTCAAGAATTTTAAATTGCAAGAGCTGAAGTTCTTTCTAAGTATGGACAATTGCCTAAACATACAGAAAAAGAAATGCAGTAAAATACTCCATATTTCCACATTCAGTCTGCTACAAAAAAAGGATACTATAACATCATATAAGACAGGTCATTACTATAACCGATGTAGATAGAATTTCTTCATGAAGAGTACCAGCAGCCAGAGATTTGCAAGCAAGCTAGTAAGCACTAAAACAGACCTGTAATCAGGTCGAAAATCATGGCCCCACTTTGAAACGCAGTGAACCTCATCGATGGCAAAGAGTGCAATCCCATGACTTTCTGCAAGCCTTGTAAGTGGTTCTGTAAGTCTGCAAAAAGAAAACCTCTGGGAATGTCGACATGGTAAATAACGACTTTATTTACCCAAACTTAAAAATATCAATCGAGAGAAAGCTTCTACCTTAATACCGTCTCAGGACAAACATAAATTATCCTATACATGCCACTCATATCTTTGCACTCAACAGTCCGGTCAGGTTGTCCAGATCCAAGGAAACATGCTGACAAATAATTAGGACATATATTATAGGACACGTTCAGATAGAGCTAACAAATTTATTATAGGACACGCTCAGATAGAGCTAACAAATTTATCCAAAACTTAAAATCTCAATAGAATAATTTCATGCTATGAATTAGCCAAATAATAACTACTGAATTTAATACCAACATATTAGGGGGGAAAATAATGAATGTACCTACAGTTTTCTAACTTAAAAAATTAGAATTTAGATCAAATTCATCACCATGATTTATATTTCAATCAGTTCCAATAGAAACTAACTAAAAAAAGAACTTTTTATGCAGAAAACCCTAACAAAATGAAATCAGAGAAAGTTCCAATAGAAACTAACTAAAAAAAGAACTTTTTATGCAGAAAACCCTAACAAAATGAAATCAGAGAAAGTACTTGCAGTTTTCTTCTTTTCAAAGAGGAAATCTGAAAATAAAAGATTGATTACTATAAAAGACTTACTTTGAAAATTCTTACACAGAATAGTTATACAATTCTTATAATGGAAAATTATAATTCACATTACAGTCTTCACAATCTATATTGATGGTGCTTACACCCGCTTTTCCATAATGTTGTGTTTCAATTCACGAAAAAGTTGTATGGGCAAACATTATTATTTAAGAAAGTGATTGTCGAACGGATGTAAGCATATAAATACAATGAGGTTCAACTGCAATGCATGTTCTCAATTGTGATGTGTCTAGGATAATAGGATGCAGCAAGGAGCCAGTTCAATGCTGCAGGCACACAAGAATGATATTAAAGATTTATGCTTATATTTCGTGTTAATGAGAAGTTCAGATATCCAAACTGATCCTATTACACTTTTGCACAGCCCAACATTGGCCTATTCTCGAACAGTTTAAACGCAAATTCTTCTCAAGAACTCAATACCAAGAGAACCATCACACATTTCTATTTAAATTTCACACATACAGTCAGTATTAACTTTTTCATATTGCACTTCATCCAGTCCCATGTTGACATAATAAGGTGTCAATTGCGGGTTTATAAAAATTTAGGCGTAGCTTTTAGGTGTGAGTTTCCTCGCTCTCTTAAAAATGATATCAAAGCCAACCACAACCAGCGGGCATGCAGAGATAACACCCATGATTCAATGTCCCTAATTAGTCAATATGGGACTACGTAGACCCTAACATAACATGACTTCTCCCAGGTCTCATACATCTCACCTCGCTAATGCTGAACCTAAGCCTGCAACCTTCCATCAGCTATAATGACATAGGCTCCACTTGCCAGATTGGCTACAGAAAAGCTGATATCCACATTAGATGCATGATTAGCTTTGATCCAGTTATTATGGTAAAAGTTCAATCAATCCATTTACTTCCATATTATTCCCTTTATTCCATTTTCATATCTAGATCAAAATTTTCCCTCCTGATCCCATCTACTATCATTTAATCACCAAAACCGAGCCCTAACACATAATCCAAATAGCAAAAACAACAAAACTACTGATTCAACAGAAACTACAATGCAAACACGAACCACACACCTCGACGATTCCGGCGAGGACGACGACGTTCCTGGCGAGCTTCCTCGATCTATATTTTGATGGTGCTTTCATATCACATTACAGTCTTCATAATCAATTGTGAGATCATCCTATTTTGATGGTGCTTGGAAACATTTATTCTATATAGAAGCAATTTGAGACTTGGGGAAAGCGTTCAGCTTCACTTAGTACAACGAATTCAAGTATGACAACTGAAAAATGACCAGTTGAAAATAATAATTCTGTGATAATTTGGGGAGTCCAAGGGCCCTAATCATTACACAACATCGTTATAGAACTGGAGCATCAACCGTTATAACATTCACAATAGATTTAAGAAAATAGCACTCACCTCAGGTAAGTATGACACCAGTCTTCTGAACTTGTAACTTTTTAATCAGTGGAGAAACCAAATCAGGTGTCAAAATATCCCCTAATCCTAGACCTGTATGAGGGGTAAAAAGAAAATGAGAAATTAATAGACTATATCTTCTATGCAACATTGTCGTAAATTTTATTGCAGTGTTGGATGGGACTTCACCTGCATCAGGGTCCTCAACAGCAGCTGATGGTATTCAAAAGCAAGAAAATGTCAAATGCCTTACAGAATCATATAGCAGAAGTAGTTTCAAGTAAACAGAAAAGCACTGATATAATACCTGGTGACTGGATGCCTCTTTATATTCTCTGCAAGTCCGCTAATTGTACGTGTCCAGCAGAAGAAGTTACTTCAGCCGATTCCCCAGCCACAGTTTGATCAACCAGATTTCCAGCTCTGAATAATCAGAATATCAGAGACAATATTTGCGCTTTACTCAGAAAAGGAAAAAAAATACTACATGAAGTAAGTCTTTTTACAAAGAAGCAACCATTGAAAATAATAGCTAGAGCTTGGTAATCTTCCAAAATTCCATCAGAAACTTGGCATGTGAATTGCATGTCCCACAATCACCACAATTGTGTTTCGCCAAAAAAAAGATTAAAACAAAGGATTAGATTTTTTGTAGCACACACACTTGTCATGAAGTTTTATTAGTGTAGAATAATAGAATATATATTCTATACGACAGTCCCTTGGACACTCATATGCAACTACTTGGACATTCATTAGACATATTCAGGACACTTTTCTGTTGTGTCCCAGGTTTTAAAATGCATATTATGTGCTAATATTCAGGACACTTTACGTAGCACACACTTATCACCTTCTTGTCGTTGCTTATTCTAGCAACGGTATAGCTATACCAATTTTACTTGATCTTGTATTCTGTAATTTGAAACTTGAACAAAAACTATTTCTCCAACAACACATCAAGTTATTTAGGAAAAGTATTCATTTTCCCGGACTGTGAAAAAGATTGATTACTATGGAGTAAACTAATATTTAGTTACAGAGTCATATAATAAGAAAATGAAAGCACAAAGCATTTTTTAATGAAGCAATTCATGCTATAATATGTTTTACCTTGATCATCAGTTCTCTTAAATCAAATACCGACATGTTTGCTATTTGCCTAACCTCACGATCAAATAACTAATGAAGCACTTCCAGTGTAATTAATAACTCTAATCTGTACTTTGTATCTGTTTAAGATTTTAGGTACATGATAATATAAATAGTGCATTATGTAGTAAATTTATAATCTCAAGTTTAGTAGATCTAATACCTTGGCACAACCACCTTCACATATTCATGACAATAGTCACACCTAAATTTGCCCCCATCAGGCTTTGCCTTCCTCTTACACTTATTGCAAGCATTCAAAAATCAATTATATTCTTTCTCAATGTATATAATAGTCGCCAACGTCACATCGGTGCACGCCTGGTTTATAAGAAGAGGAATATCATAATGATATCCACCTTATGATTATAAAAAACAAAACTAATTAAAAAACTGAAGCCGAATAAGAAAGGGAATCAAGAGATACATATTCTAATTTTACTCATGGGTCATGATGTCTGGAATTAAACGATAACTTTTACAATACTTTCGAGTCATGCAATAACACTAATGGAAATATAAGAATGAAAATAAGTATTATTGTTCACTTTACCTCTCGAATTTCACGTAGCTCATCTAAATTCTTTCTTTCAGCCGATTGCAGGAAGTTGTCAGAGATAGATTGTGATGCTTGGCTAGATATTTGACTTAGCATTTGTGATGACTCTCCTCTATTATCAATGCTGAACAAATTATTCCTTAGTAACTTTTTCAATTGAATATGATGTTCCTCTTGCATTTATTTTCTGAAACTGTTTCAATACATCTCCCTTCTTTTCTGAATTGTTATAGTTTAGGAACAGAAGACCGGCTATTTTCTTAAAAAAGAAAGCATCCTAATTGCTAAAAAGTGAGCTTGAAATTTTCAAAAAAATAAAAATAAATAAAAATTTACCTGCTCATACTTAGACTCAAGTTATAAGATCTAATCTGTGGAGTCTAGTCCAGTTTCAACAGCCATCTTTTGTACTTACAAACATGAGACCAAAATCAAGCTATCTTTTCAAGTTCGTGAGTAAGATCAAAAGCTCAAAGAATAATTCGTAGCATAGCAAGTAACAAAAAGAAAGAAAAATTCGCTCACATGCATGATCTTCTTCTCCAGATCCATGAGAGGCTTCTCGAAGGGCTAAGGATCCCTCCCTTGACATTGGGATCGGGCTCGATCTTGTGAGGCCACGGGTACTCGTGCTTCACCTTCCCCTTCTTCACGATCTTGCCATCAATTCACCATCCTCCTCCTCCTCCTCCTCCTCAAATCAACGCTCATCGCTCCGATCACCCACCAAAATACTAAGAGCACTCCAATCACTCCACTGCTCGAGCTCCGCAAGATCGTCCGAGGTCGAAGCCTTGGAGCCAGGGAGAACGCCGCAAGCGAAAACATCTTGGGGGGGGGGTCGAGCTTCGATATGCGGGGGCTAAAAAAACCCTAGAAATGGGGATCTAATGAATAGAGACAGAGAGCGCATTGGAGAAATCTAAGGGGCTGTTTGTTTTGAGTTTTTTTGCCTCCGGGAGGGGTAGAAGCTGCCATAATGGGGTAGAAAGCTGTCATTATGCGAGCTTTCTCCCCAAAACGCCTTTTTAATAGGCATTTTGGGGGAGAAAGCTATCATAATGGCAGCTTCCACCCCTTCCTAAGGCAAAATACTCAAAATAAACAGCCCCTAAGGCTCTAAGCGGAAGCCAAAGCGGCATTGGAGAAATCGAAGAGCTATTGGTTTTGAGGAAATGAAGAACTGGGGAAACGAAGAGTCGGTCTTGGGAAATGAAGAACTGGGGAATTGAGGTGATTGCCATGTGGCGTTTATAATTGTATGGGTTATTTTTGCCAAGTGGTATTACCTAGGGTAACACTTATTAGTAATAGTATATAGATGTTTAGTATTTGTACTGATTGGATCAGTCTTCATTGTACAAGTATATAAAGAAGATATGTTATTTGTTATGTTATCGGAAACATGTTAACTTTCTTTATTCGCTTGTTAAGTTACATTAATAACATGTTAACTTTTTTTTTCGTTTGTTAAGTTACACTGATAACACGTTAACTTTCACAGTTTGCTTGTTAAGTTACACTGATAACATGTTAACTTTCGCAGTTTGCTTATTAAGTTATACTGATATCATGTTAACTTTGGATGGTAAATTGATAACTATATTTAGTAAATTGTTAACTATAATCCATTGTATGTTAACTATTATTTGTAAACTGTTAACTAACACCCTTATCCTGATAATGTTGCTTTTTACATTTAATATGCGTTCATATTATAGTTAACATGTAAGCTGTGATAGTTATCAGTTTTCATATAATAGTTAACATGTTAACTATAACAGTTAACATGTTGGCTACTAGTTTACATGTTAACTATTATCGTTAACATGTTACGCGCTATGGATAACATGTTAACTATTCTCTTAAGTGACACCGTTAAAAATTAATTAGTTAGCATGATAAATACTGCTCCTTCTTATTTGTACATCATTTTTATATCACATTCTGGTTATAGTTCACATATATACAAGAGTATTTCAGTTCATATACACAGCTATCACATATTATCCTTGGTTGAATCAGCGAGCTTGGAATTAGTCTAGTCTTTGTCTCGTACGGCGTTGTCGCTACGTTGTAGGACATATTATCCTTGGTTGTCTTTGTCTCGTACAAGCGACCTGATAAAGTTAACATGTTTCCAATGATATTTACCAAATAAATTGCAAAAGGGAACATGTTATCCTGATCTCTTCTTTTGGTACACTACGTTCTCATAATTTAAAATTAACAATTTCTCAACTATATTTAACATAGACCATGTAAACATTAACAGTCAATCAACTATAGTAATTTGAGATGCTTCTTTTGATGAATTCAAGCTTTAATAGTATAGCATATCTCCAAGCAACTGCAGACGGATTTTTTCCAAAATTATTAAGCAAAAAAATAGTAGCATCGTGATTTCAGATTTGTCGATCCCAGTCGTCATCATCTGCTTCCTCTAGCAACCATTGTAGCCATTTACACAATGAATCCAACAGTACATGAAATCAATCAAGACATTGATGGATTTGTGTTAACACACCAAATCAATTAAAAATCTTAAAATGGGCATTAGCCAAACCTTAGATTGATTTTGAAATCAGAGAATTAAACATCCAAATTCCTGCATCAAAATAAATGGAATTAAACGTCCAAATACATGGATAAAAGAGCCAAATCAGTTCAAAACAACCCCAAATCGCATTAAAATGATCAAGTTTAAGGAGTTCATTCCCTCAAAACAACATATCCAAAAAAGGGCCAAAACTCATCAAATTTAACGAGGAAAACAGATCGAGCAACAAAGTCAAAGGTCAAACTGAATCAATCGATTCCATACCGCGACGGTTGTGGCGGCGTCGACGGCGTAGGAGGAGGAGAGGGGATTGGTTAGGGTTAGGGTTTCCATTGTTTCGTCGTTGTTTGGGGGCGAGGGGTCGAAGGGGCCCATCATTTTATCATATTAGAAATGAGAGTGAGAGTGAGAGTGAGAGTGAGAGAGATCTGAGAGAGAGGAGGAAGAAGGATAAGATTGGAGAAGAAGTGGGATATTTTGGGGTTTTTTTGAAATTTATTTTTTTGGAAATTGTAATAAGGGCTGAATCACAAAGAATTTTTATTTTTGGGGCTAATACACAATAGAAAAAGTATAGGGGGCTGGGCACATAACTTTTTGTTTTTTGGGGCTTTTTGAAACAATTTTTCCTTTTCATAAACTTTCTTATTTTTTCCATTCACAAAACAAATTCAAGCAATAAAATAATTATATCCGCGATTCAGTTGTAGTAAAGATATAGACTTAAATAAAATAATTAAAATATTTAACGTTATGCTATGCGTGTGAGTCTCACCTAGTAAATTTTAAAAATAGTTGTTTTCGAAAAAATTGTCCATTGTTTGAAATCATTACCTAGGCCAAAGGCCTATGATGTATATTTATAGATAATCAATGTGAATAGGTTGAGTACCCAAGAGTCACCCCCACTTAATGGGGTGTTACACCATCATATTGGGGTGTGAATGGAGGGATAATGAGGGGGAGGCCAAATGCCTCCCTCATCTCATAATACTCACCATTATCCATCCATTACCTTGGGTTTAGCTTATGAACACTTCAGAGTTCGTAAAGCTAATGGGGTGGATACTTTTGGATCCAGAGTAAACTTGTTTGCCTCGTTAAAACCTTAGTTGTGAAAAACCCAGTGGGAAAAAACCATCAGCCTAAGGAAAAAGAGTACAACCCATAGGTTACTCCCCCTGAACCATACAAGCTTCAGGCTTGTAGGTCTTTCAGATGTCTCATCCCTATTCCTTTTACAAGTTTTACAAAAGTACATCTAAGCAGAGCCTTAGTGAACAAGTCAGCTAAATTATTACATGATTGGATCTGCTGTACTTTAACTTGCTCCTCCTCTTGAAGATCGTGCGTCCAGAAAAACTTGGGAGATATGTGCTTCGTCTTGTCACCCTTGATGAAGCCAGACTGAAGTTGAGCAACGCATGTTACATTGTCTTCAAATATGATAGTTGGCTCAAGGTCACCAGTCTTCAGGCCGGTAGACACTAAGATGTGCTGAATGACAGAACGAAGCCAAACACATTCTTTGCTGGTTTCATGGATCGCGAGGAGTTCGGAATGGTTGGATGAGATTGCTACAGTGGTTTGCTTGACAGACCTCCAGAAGATGGCCGTACCACCGAAAGTAAACACAAATCCGGTTTGTGATTTCTCGGTGTGGGGATCAGACCTGTAACCTGCATCTGAATAACCAATTAAGGTGGGAGACCCACCCTTCGGGAAATATAATCCCAGGTCTATAGACCCTTGGAGGTAGCGCAGAAGATGCTTAACTCCATTCCAGTGGCGCTTTGTGGGCGCTGCACTGTATCTGGCTAGTAGGTTAACTGAAAACGCTATATCGGGACGCGTACAGTTAGCCAGATATAATAGTGCTCCAATGGCACTGAGGTAAGGTACTTCAGGACCTAGCATTTCCTCCCCCTCTTCCAGCGGACGGAAGGGGTCGTTCTTTACATCCAATGATCGAACAACCATTGGTGTACTAAGAGGATGACATTTATCCATTCGGAAATTTTTAAGTAATTTCCGTGTATATGTGGATTGGTGTAACAGGATACCACCCTTAAGGTGTTCGATCTGTAAGCCAAGACAATACTTTGTTTTGCCTAGGTCTTTCATTTCAAAAGTATTCTTAAGGCTTTCAGATATCCCAGCGATCTCTGCAGGAGATCCAATAAGATTTAAGTCGTCGACATAGACGGCGACTATAATGAATCCTGTTCCCGATCTTTTTATAAAGATACACGGGCAGACTTTATCATTTGTGAATCCTTGCGTAGCAAGGAACTCACTTAGTCTGTTATACCACATTTTCCCCGATTGCTTAAGACCATATAATGATCTTTGAAGCCTAACAGAATAGACGTCCCGAGGTCTATCTGCTATCTCTG